TTTTGTGAGATACTGTACATTTGCAAACATGTCAAAGCTGCAGCAAATTGCAGGGGCTTGGGTGGGGGTGTTACAATCTTTCCTGCTCGCCTCAGAGTCCTGGAGCGTACAGGTCTTGGGGGTATGGACGGTCGGACGGAGGTCTAGTCCTTTCAGACTGAGCTCCTGTTGCCCCCCATGAGTCTGATGATGTTATAGGAGTGTGATGCTCAGCGGAGTACTGCCAAACTCTTAAACTGAGGGTGTAAAGGCAGAACAAAGAGGGCGTTTATCAGGTATCTTGAGTTGCCTATTGTGATTCTCCAAACTTTATTTTTAAATGTAGGTGCTTCTTCTTTTCCCCAATTAAAGGATGTGTGTACAAAAACATGAATTTGCCAAATGAATAAAAATGAGACAAAAACAGAGCGATGCAACAAGAAGCCTTACTGTTAATAAAACAGCAATACTAATACTAATAAATAACCAATAATACAAATATCAATGGATGATTAAACAGTACAAAACATTTTTGTATTTTTTTGTTAACTAAAAGGAACATAAGATACATCAAATACAGTTTTACATATTCAATCCCCCTAAAATAAGAGAGGAAATACATTTAACAGTTCTTTCCCCTTTAAAGTAGCTTTAATGTTTATGGTGTTTCCTTCTGCTTTTATCTTGTCTTATCATATTGTGCATTCATGTGGTGTCATGACGACAACACTCCGTCACGGCGGATGGTTAGAAACGTTTGATTAATGGTGCAAAATCATGTATTGCATATACATTTTTTTCCTAAGGTGGCCATTTGTAATATGGTATTAAGTTATCACGGTTGGTTTGCTGTCCATGTAGAGTGACCTGGATTAATTAGGAAAATTATATATTTGTTTCAGGTGCAGTGACAAAAATCATTTGTAGTAGAAAGGTTTAAAAGTTTCAGCAGACTACAACAACTCAGTACGTCTTTATAGTAGCGTCCATGTTGATTCCACATGCCAACCTAAAAGCACATCAACACACACCGAAGTCTGACTTCATAACTCTGGAAATGGGACCATCCCAGGAGCAAGTGAATGCACCATTATTATTTGTTTTATGTTGTAGTAGTTCCTGGCAGAATGTGAATGATCCTCACACGAGAATTTAAAACTCCAGATTACAGTAGGCTGATGATACTCAGAAAAGGCCCCAGCTCGTTTGGATGTTGCTGTTGTGAGATGAACTGTATGTATGAAACCACCAAATGTCGTGTGCAGTGCTGATCGAGCAGGTTGAGAACCCAAACGCAGGACACCAGAGTGGAGCAGGTATAGTCCAATGATTTATTAACAAAAGGAGAGCACACTTACAAACTGTGGCTACGTCCAAATAGAATCCAAAGTATGTCCAAAAAACAAAAGCAAGGTGATGCGGAATACGAGGCAGGAACGAACTCAGGCAACAGATCAACACGGGATACACGCAACAATGAACCAAAAAAGACTGACCAGAACACAGGGACTGAAATACTCAGGCTAACGAGCAGGGTGGGAAAAACAAACATGAGCAGCTAATTAGGCACAGCAGACACACAGGGAAACGAGACAGAGTGAAACAGCAAGGTAACCAGGCAGGAAACGAAGAAAGAATAAAACCGAAATGACTACAAACACAAGCGGACACACGTCCATAAACAAAAGTACAGAAACAAAGGCAGTGGTGACAAACTAATAATCAAGACAAAAATACAGGAGCAAAGCTAGACAAGAACACCAGGCACGAAAGATTACAAAATAAAAGGCAGTAAAGTACACAAGAACGCACAAGGACAGATCCACCAAAGAAAAACACAAACATGGAAAGACTGCAAAAACAGGAGCAAACAGGAGACACAGGACTAAGGGCTGAGATAAAAGACAAGACAGATACTAAGAAAACTTTAAACATGCAAATGAACTAAAAACTAAACTTAGCTACAAAACCCAAAACGTGACAAAATCAAATAAAGCTCAGAAAAACACACAACCCAAAACCAAACCCACGAAACCAGATACTAAGTAAAGTGGAACATGTGAATGAATAAAATAATAAACAAGGCTACACAGAGAAACACAGAACCAACAACAGACGTAAGCAGGAAAGACATGAAGACAAAGCTCTAACACCAAAAGACACTTGCGGCGTCAGTTTCAGGTACTTTAACTATGTGGACGTCGTGACTCGAGACAGAAACATGCTCCTGTTTCATTTAAAGGCCGAGCAGTTTCTGTAACACACAACTCTGTTTTTACGTGGGATGTTGTCGAAGGCACAGTGTGCAATTCTGCAAAAGACAAAAACGTCTCTCCGCCTGTTTGGAGCTGAAAATTGATGCGGCTCATCTGGGACTTGTGGTCTATATCAGAAATCCACATCATATCCTGGCGGCATCTGTCTGCAGCTGCCCTCCCTTCCCCTGCCTCTCTCCAGGGTTTAATTAGAGCCGCTGAGCTCTGTGTGAATAATGCAGCACCTGAACTCACCTGAGCCGGCTGCTCGAGCTGAAGAACTGCAGGGAGGCCGAGAGAGCACCGCCTCCAGAGAGAGAGAGAGAGAGACGAAATGACTTCAGTGGATTTAAAAAGTGTTCATGTCATTTTAATCAGTGCACTAATGGAACAAACTACTAATTGTATTTCCTCTCTTATTATTTAGGGGGAACTGGATAAACATATAAAACTATTTTATTTGTATTTTGGTTATTTATTAGTAGTATCAGTATTGCTGTTGTTAACAGAAGGCTACTTGTTGCATCGCTCTGTTTTTGTCTCTTCTTTTTATTTATTTAACAAATTCATGTTTTTGTACTCACATCCTTTACTTGGGGACGCACTTACATTTACAAATACTCCATTAAAATTCTGTAATTCCTGCGGTAGGAAAAAGGAAAATATGCTTGTGGTAGAGAAAAGTAAAAGGTTGTTTTTAAGCAGAATGGCAGTTTTTTCGAGGATTGCATTGTTATATTTGTCCCTGAAAGGTAGTGGAATTAAATCATCATGGGAATCCTCAAGTAAAGTACAATTTGCTTAAAAAATGTATATAACTATAATACCTGAGTAAATCTAATTAGTTACCTTCCACTCCTGCTTTTATAAGAACCCTTGAAAACTGAATTCTGCTGTAAGAGGACTTCATGAACTCTCCTGCCACGTCTGTTTCATTTCTCTTATCTGTTTTTATCCCGTTTGTATAAGTGTGAAATAAAACAACTAACAGCTGTTGACAGTATTATTAGTATTGTTGAAGACGCTATTAGTTGCTTGTAGTATCATTAGAATTATGTAACTTTAATGATTATGTTTTACAATAATGACATTTCAGTAAAATACAGAAGAAATAGCAACAAGTGAGGAAAAAGAAGTCAGACTGACTGCAGCAGGATGAAGTCTGGGATGTTTGTGCCACCTAGTGCTCTTTTTCTGCAGCACATAGATGGAAATATTACATAGATACATTGATCAAGGCTATACGTAGATGATCAACTGTGCAAAATGGGCATATGTCCGGGGCCCCAGAGCCCAAGGAGGCCAAACGTCCTTAGATTCACTGTGTTTCAAAAAGCTGACATAATATTTAAAACTGTTTACAGACTCAGGTCCAGATCTTTCCCACAGAAATACACAAATACATACCAACATTCACACATGCACGCCCACATTCATACATAAAAACAACAGCATAATAAATCATGATTTACACCACTAAAAGAAAAGAGACAAATGTTATCAGTGTCCTACCAGGAGACAGTTAAACCAGTCTTTCCACACACAGTGTTGGTGTCATCTAGCACTTATCTGTATGTTTGCAAAGCCCAAAATTATTTGATTTTCTGAATCATTAAGCCGGCACATGAATTTATACATGAGGTTTCTTCAGACTGCGTGACAGGTCTTTTCTCCTGCAGCCACAAACGTCTTTCCTGCACTGCACCATCTCGGTCTCCTGAGTAATATTCCCACTGCATTGTTATTAGGTTTCTGTAGACTTGCTTTTATTTGACCACAAGTGTGCAGTACAGAGCAGTGTACAATCTGTTGTTTAGGAATTTATAACATCTAAATACAATATCAACCAAGGGCGTCCTACGAGATCATGCGATCGTGAGTCCAAATCTAGTTTTAAGACTTTATTTCAGTTGATATTCTGTTCACCTGCTGGCTGTTTCCAAATAATGTTGTGCTGTAATGAAATTGCCCCCTAACATTTTTATTTCTATTACCACTTGAAGATTAGAAAATGATACAGCCCTTTTCATAAATGTAGATCTAGTAAACTATAAACAACACTTTTCAGATGTTCTGAGTGACTTTATTGCACATTACATTAAAATAAAGCACACAGCCCCTTTAAGACAAATTACATCTTAATAATTGTCCTCAAAGTGCAAAAGCTCTTCTATAACTCATCAACTCATGTTATCTCTTCCTCTATAACAGTATTGATTTAAAAAGTGGACACTCAATAAGTTTAACCTGGATTTATATCGTCAGTGGACTTCATGAAAGCAATGTTATTTAATTACAATAAAAATATATTGTAGCCTACATTCTGCACATATAACACGTATTGATACAAACATTTGCTTTCACTACATTTGAACATTTATTTAAAATAATTTTCTAAAATAGATAAATACATTTTATGTTGTTGTCTAAACAAATGCATATATAATAACAAAAAAACATTTTTATAATCCCTGAGAAAGAAATTTAACTTTATTTATTTAACAAAAAGGCTCCGAAGATACTTAATGTCTGTACTGCTTTGAAGGTCTTATTTTCATTTATTTATTTTCCTCTTTTGTGCTGTCTTGTTTTGTTATATATCACTTATGTGTTGTATGTAACTTTTACAATGTCGTGATTCTTGTTTTAGGTTGTTTTGATATTATTTTCTTACTAATAAAAGGCACAAGAGGGGAAAAACGTAGAGCGTGTGAGTTTTGCGATTACCTGGAGACCTTGAAGGCAGCATGGCAACCTTCTCCAACCTCTGATTGGTCCGTTAGCCGCTGTTTTGACCACGTGATGCTAAAGATGGCGGCCAGCACCGGTGGTAAAGACGGTAAGTTGGATGTTTTTTAAGGGTGTCGGTGTCTTTAATGAGGCAGTTATGCACTCGCAGCGGATTCCTCACCTGTAAAGGAAACTCAGAGTCCGTCAGACAGCAAGCAGCTGAAAAAAGGAGCAAGTGTTTAGTTTGTAATGACGCTGAAGAGCCAGCAGCTAGCCGGCTGTGCTAACAGGCTAACCAGCAGGTTGCGTGTTTTTACGTCAGTTTAGTTACCTGTTACCTGTTATCAGTTATCAGTTACCAGTTATCAGTTACCAGTTATCAGTTATCAGTTACCAGTTACCAGTTACCAGTTAGCAGTTAGCAGTTAGCAGTTACCAGCTATCAGTTATCAGTTATCAGCTACCTGTTATCAGCTACCTGTTACCAGTTACCAGCTACCTGTTACCAGTTACCAGCTACCAGTTATCAGTTATCAGTTACCAGTTATCAGTTACCAGTTACCAGTTAGCAGTTAGCAGTTACCAGCTACCAGCTACCAGCTACCAGTTATCAGTTATCAGTTATCAGTTACCAGTTACCAGTTACCAGTTACCAGTTACCAGTTAGCAGTTAGCAGTTAGCAGTTACCAGCTACCAGTTATCAGTTATCAGTTATCAGTTAGCAGTTATCAGTTATCAGTTATCAGTTACCAGTTACCAGTTACCAGCTACCTGTTACCAGCTACCTGTTACCAGTTACCAGTTACCAGTTACCAGTTACCAGCTACGTGTTACCAGTTACCAGTTACCAGTTATCAGTTACCAGCTACCAGTTACCATCTATCAGTTAGCAGTTACCTGTCCAGTTTGAGCAACTCACATTCCGCTTACAGCCTGTTTTTGTTTTAAATAAACAGGCTAACCAGCAGGTTGCGTGTTTTTATGTCAGTTTAGTTACCAGTTACCAGCTACCTGTTACCAGTTACCAGCTACCAGTTACCAGTTACCAGTTACCTGTTACCTGTTACCAGCTACCTGTTACCAGCTACCTGTTACCAGCTACCAGTTACCAGTTACCTGTTACCTGTTACCAGTTACCAGTTACCAGTTACCAGCTACCTGTTACCAGTTACCAGTTACCAGTTACCTGTTACCAGCTACCTGTTACCTGTTACCAGTTACCAGTTACCTGTTACCAGTTACCAGTTACCTGTTACCTGTTACCTGTTACCAGCTACCAGCTACCAGTTACCAGTTACCAGTTACCAGTTACCAGCTACCAGCTACCTGTTACCAGTTACCAGTTACCAGTTACCAGCTACCAGTTACCAGTTACCTGTTACCTGTTACCAGCTACCAGCTACCAGCTACCTGTTACCAGTTACCAGCTACCTGTTACCAGTTACCTGTTACCTGTTACCTGTTACCTGTTACCAGCTACCAGCTACCTGTTACCAGTTACCAGTTACCAGCTACCTGTTACCAGTTACCAGCTACCTGTTACCAGTTACCAGCTACCTGTTACCTGTTATCAGTTATCAGTTATCAGCTACCAGCTACCAGCTACCTGTTACCAGCTACCTGTTACCAGTTACCAGCTACCTGTTACCAGCTACCTGTTACCAGCTACCTGTTACCAGCTACCTGTTACCAGTTACCCGTTACCTGTTACCCGTTACCCGTTACCCGTTACCCGTTACCAGCTACCTGTTACCAGCTACCAGTTATCAGTTATCAGTTACCAGTTATCAGTTACCAGTTACCAGTTACCAGTTACCAGTTACCTGTCCAGTTTGAGCATCTCACATTCCGCTTACAGCCTGTTTTTGTTTTAAATAAACAGGCTAACACTGGTTCTTCACTGGAAGTTAACAGTTTTTAATCTCTTCTTCTTCGAGGGTTTGCAGCGGCTGGCATCATCAATGTTGCACTGCTGCCTGTAAATGTTCCCATAAACGATCAATCTATAAAGTGACTGACCATTTTTAAAAAAGTTAACAACTCAAAAAATTAAACAAAAGTCACTCCCAGTCAAACCTTTTTGGGACTGTGTAGCATTTTTAGGTATAAACTGGTATTTTAGTTTTTGCTTTGTAAAATATTAATCATTTTTCCCACTGAACAAAAGATGCCAAAGTTTCCAGATTGTAAATGTTGTCGAAACACAAGCAGCAATCACAAGGTTGAATCATGCTACTATAAAACAACAACAATAATTATCAGTTTGGATTACAGCCGGCAGTAACAAATACATGTATCAGACAACAACAAGTAAACAAACCACAGTAACAGCCGGGATGAATGTTCAATAAAAATTCAGTTAAAGTTTGATTTTATTCACTTGAATCATAAACGAATTAGGACTTCAAATTTGAATTAAGATGTTTATATTGTTGAGGAAAAAAAGGACTGAAAAAAAGCTTTTACTTAATTTTACTCGTGCATATTTGTTGACAAAGACTTTATCACAAGTGTTTTGAATGTTCTGCCTCAGATTTGTGAAGTGATCCACTGTTTGGCCTCAAGTGAAGAGTCTAAACCACAATGAACCATCAGGTTTCTTCAACTTTCACTCTGGAGCAAAAATCAGGCTTTAAACTCGAAAGAAATGACGATTTGATGCTAATTATTATAAATTAATTATCAATATCGAAAGATATTAAACTTTTTATCGGGAAAACATTTTTGGCCGCATCGTCCAGCCCTACATGCTGCACACACAGAACTTCACAGATAATTAGTTAAAATATGGTAACATATAAAATAGAGTTATTTAACACGTAATAATAATAATGTTAACCAGAACATTCTGCAGTGCACTTTTTGAATTTGCATCTGGGGTGAATGTAAACAGCAGCAACAAGATGATAATTTAGTTTCATCTTCACATTTAAGTCCGTCTTGACTCTGAGCACCGAGCATCATCGATGTAAAACACTTCCTCTCGTCTCGCTGGAGTCTTTGCGCTGACAGCTCTGAACATGGACCACCTGCCGAGCGCTTGATCCGGTATGTTGATGAGGCGGGTCTCTTTGAAGATGCCGGCACAACAGTCTCTGATTTCTGTTCTGCATGAGTCCCAGTTTGGTCCAGACCGAACCTTAATGGAGAAGCCTGAAGTCAAAGTTGAGCCAACATGGCTCCTATCGCGGCTCTCTTTCTTCTCCTCTGAGCGATCACCGCACCTCGCCGTGGCGCCTGGTTCAGTTGATCCGGCTGGTGGATCGTGGTCTGCTGCTCTTTAATCCAAAAACCCCGTCTTCCTTTTCCAATGTCTGTATTTCTGTCTTTGAATAAAATACAGCCCGACGAAGAACAAATCTAAGGAGACACTAAGGTCGGAAACAAAAGCAAACCGCCCGGATTCATTTGTTTCAGTCCTTCCTCAGGGCACGCTGGGTCGGAGTAACGCGTGTTTGTTTACTTGTATCCGTCTCTCAGGTCAGGACAGTATACTGGAGCCGCTGTGTTTTCCAGAGGAGTCAGCTGATGGCCCCAGTGCTCCCAGTCTGCAGTGTCCCAGCGCAGAGCCGCTGGTGTGTCTCTTCTGTCCCGAGTCCGTCCCTCTGCAGCAGAAAGACGTCCTCCTCAAACACCTGCTGCTGGAGCACAAGCTGGTCATCGCCGACGTCAAACTCATCGCAGACGTCCCAAAGTATGAACCCTGCGCTGCGTCTACGGCTGGTCGTCCAGAAATAAAACTCAGTCTGATTCAGAAGGCTGGGAAAGTGTTTGAAAAGGGTGTAAAATGATGAACACAGGGTTGGTTTTAGACCGATATATCACTTTGTCATGGATGCAGAAGGAAACGTGTTGCTACTAATTAGTTGGGCTGAGCAGTTATTGTTGATTGACTCTTCCTGGAATCACGATGTGATGGTTTCATCAAATCATCCATCCACTGTCAACCGCTTATCCTGCATACAGGGTCGCGGGGTGATCAAATCATGTTATCACCATATCTGTAAGTACAAATTTAGTTTGTTTTACTCATGAAAAGCTGAACATAGTTAATTTTATTGGACCGATATGGGATTTACAGGATCGATGACAATATTTAGAGAGCAGGGCAGCCGATGGCCGTTACATAATGCTGCTATCAAAACAAAGAAATGTCACGTATCTTTCCATTAGTCAGTCCCTCCAGGATCTCGCAGCCTTTTTTGTGATTGTTGCGACCTAAAATACTTTATTTTGCGGCAGCTTTTCTAAGAAATAGCGATGAAAGTTGTGATGTTTTGGAGCGTTTTTTGGCAATTAAATTGTAGAAATAATAATAATAATAATTTGGTGAAGACGATCTGGATCCTGGTCTTCTGGGCCTTTTTTTCTTCTTTTTTTTGTTGGCAAATGTGAGACGTTGGTATCACACACGTCTGCTGCGTCTTCCATACAAGAAAGTGACAAGCTGATGCGAGACGGCGATTTTCAAATTTGAGGGAAAGTTGTGGTGAATGAGCTTCAACGATTAATCAAATAATCGATCAGTTGTCTGCTATTAAATTAGTCTATAACTATTTTGATAATCGATGAATTGGTTTGATTCATTTTCTTAATTTTCCGGCTTCTTAAATGTGAATATTTTCTGGTTTGATTCCTCCTCTGTGACAGTAAACTGAATATGACGTCTTCTTGACTTTGGGAAACAGGGATGGACGTTTTTGACTTCTGACACCAAACAACTAATCGATTAATCGAGAAAATAATCGTTATTTGCAGCTCAAATGCAGAGTCGTCTAATCTGCATGTTATCTCAGCAGTAAGCTGTCGTTTCAGATGTTTTATTAATGAATGAAACCGGGACAAACTTTGGGTCCTGCTGTTTAGAGGGGTTCACTCTGTCAGACGTCATTCAGCTGCATTATTCTCTACAGTATAAATATATAAGCTGCTGTCATTTAGAAAAGACGATTGTGACTGAGGACAGTTAGGGCTCCAAACTACCTTTTTGACCTCCTTCCCAAAACGAGAAGAGGGAGCGCTAACATCGTTCACCACCAGCTAACTACCGAGGCTGCTGCAGACGTGTCCACAGACACTTTTTGTTTATCGGCCTTGTGAGTGCAGGCCCGGTTAATCGGCTGACCGATTATTATCATTTTGATTTGTATGTGATTTTGAGAACCGTTTCCACATCATAATATATATAAACTGTGTATTGAGGGAGAAATATCGACAGTGTCAACTCTCAGCTCTGCTAACGAGGTATTAATAAGATATTATTCAAGAGTCTGTTAAGTAAATTACCTCTATGGTGTCAAAGGTGAGCATTGCTGAAGCTTTTCTGACGTCTTTCCTGTCCTCCGTCAGGTACATGTTGTACTGGAAGGGCAGATTCATGGAGCAGCCGGTCACAGACTTCTGCAGCGTGATCAAGACAAACTCCACCGGTCCTGTTGGTGAGTAGAGTAACAGGAAGTTTGTTTTACAGGGACTGCAGTGGAGAGGGAATTGCACCTTTTTAAAATAGTTTTGAGCTGATCCATATTTTCTGGAATAAAAACCTGCATCTTATAGATAAACTTACATATGATGTGAATGCAGAATTAAACATACTTTTATATATATATAAATAACCAGTTGTTGCTCCCACAGAGAAGCAGGAGGACTACTTCCTGCTGTGTGACGTCCTTCCAGAAGACCGAGTCCTCCGAGAAAGACTCCAACAGAAACGACTGGTGAGTCGGTCACGATCTCAGTGCCACAGCAGAAGAAACACTACAGTCACCTTCTGATCGTCTGGCGTCAATCAAAAACTGAAGCTAATTTCTTTTTTCAACATGCTGTTGACAGTTTTTCGACGACCCAATCCAAGCCAAAGTTGAGTTGTTTAAAAGATGTGATCAGAGTTTCTGGAAAATATCAACAGGATCCCCTGACGTTTCTTTTAATGGTTTTGACTCTCCCCTCCAGTAAAAATCAGAGAGGAGACTCCTTCTCGCAATAGGACGTTGGCGATGCTGTTTTTCTTCTTCGGTGTTTGTCTGACGGTGTTGCTGGTCTTCCACAGGAGGAGGTGCTGGAGCAGCAGCAGAAGGAGAGAGACGACAGCAGCTTCCAGCGTCTCTGCATGTTCTGCAGTGAAGAGTTTGCTGGAAACAGGTACGGCCGTGTGATGATGCATTTCCGTCAGCTGCTTTGAAACTTCCTGATTGTTACAGAGTACATCAGTAAATGTAAAATCTATCAGAACCCAACACTGGACTAGGGCTGGGCAATAAAACAATAAGGATAATTATCGTAATATAATGTTTTTCAATAACAATATAACAAATGTTCAATATATCGTTAATAATTAATTAGCTGAATTAGCACTTAATTTTTCTGTTAAGATGTTTATTTTGTTGAGGAAACTGAAAGAAGAGTTACTAATCATATTTCCTGTAACCATCTGGCCCCTCAATTTATATTCAGGGGCAAAAATTAGCCTTTAAACTTGAAAGACATAAGAATTTGATAATTATCGATATCGAATGAAATGTTTTTATGGTGATAACAGTTTGAGCCATTTCGCCCAGCCCCCTCGCTTCAGCGACATGTGTTGGGTCATATTTCAAGTTTTAAAAAAATGTATCTGACATGTAAACCAACCACTGATCACACTTTACAACAAGATGCAGCACATGATGATGAGGACGTACATTTAATTGAAGAATGTCAGCAGATCATTCTTGATTTGAAAAATACATTTAGAACTTTTTGTTGTTTATTTCAATATTGAAGTTATTAACAGATTCCATAAAAATCCTAAAAGGCTCCTGCTGAAGACGTAAATCTTTACAAACAACTCACAAACATGTAGTTTCATAATAATAATTTTTAAAAACCTGCCGCCATCGTGTTTCCAGGTCGTCTCTGCTGAACCACATGGCCAGAGAACATTCCTTCAGCATCGGACTGCCAGACAACATCGTTTACTGCGACCAGTTCCTGGACACTCTGCAGAGCAAACTGGACAAGTAAGACCTGCCTCAGCTGAGGAAATGTAATAACCTGCAAACTCTATGTTTAATTAGAGAGATTGTTTAAAAAACGTTCTTAGGTCATTCAGTTTGTATGAGAGGAAGCCTCTGATCACATTCACACCTGGAAGCTGTCCAGTACAACCAGTCTGACCTGTTGGCCACTGAGCAGCTCTACTGGAGCGGTTGGGATTAACACGATCTCCACACAGAAAATACAAACAGTAGAGTTAGCATCGGTACAGAAAATGAATAATGGTACTGATAATTATCGTTATATTAATTACACTAATAATAATAGGGCTCGTAACAGTAACAGGAGGGTAGCAGGTGACTCGCAGATCCAGAAACACCTGCAGGAAGTGATGGGAGGAGAGAGGAGCTCAGTGCATCATGGGAAATCCCCCGGCAGTCTAGGCCTATAGCAGCATAACTAAGGGATGGTTCAGGACTCACCTGAGCCAGCCCTAACTATAAGCTTTATCAAAGAGGAAAGTCTTAAGCCTACTCTTAAATGTGGAGATGGTGTCTGCCTCCTGAACCCAAACATAAAACCACGAGCTCTGCACACCGTTTTCTTTCTGCCTTTTCATTTCTTCATTTCCACGACATACACATACAAAATAAAGGCATTTACATTTACACGTTAGGCAGACGCTTTTATCCAAAGCGACTTACATTGGGGAACAACGTACAAGCAATAATGCAGCACGAGAGCTGATGGCATGTATGGCTTCAGTGGGATGATAAGTTCAGAAGCCCGACAGCCTTCAGTCCAAGTTAACGGTGTTTTTCTGTCAGCCTGCAGTGTTTGTACTGTGAGAAAACCTTCCGAGATAAAACCACTCTGAAGGATCACATGAGGAAGAAAGCTCACCGCCGCATCAACGCCAACAACTGCGAATACGACCGCTTCTACGTCATCAACTACCTGGTAAGACTTTAACATCCTGACTTAGACAGAACTCAAAAGCCAAAGTATGTCTGTTGAGAGTTGCGTCGCCAAGTCACATGTTTACAGAGTAAAATATTCTTCTCGCTGTAAGAAAGGTCTTGTTCCTTCGTGGAGTCACTGCAGTTAAGTAAGTTTTCCCGTCCATAGACGTGTGACGGAGCATTGGTCTTTATTTTGGTAAAATCGTTAGTGTTTTGAACACACAGATGGACAAGATCTATCCAGTAGATGTTGAGTTTTATTACAGTCTGTGATCTTCAAACGTCTCCATCCCCTCTGCTGTCAGGAGCTGGGGAAGACCTGGGAGGAAGTGCAGAGCGAGGATGACCGAGAGCTGGTAGACGATGAAGACGAGTAAGTATCTGCAGCAGGAACCAGAAGGGTCAGAATAAATCAGTCTGGGGCCAAAGCATGCAGGTTTTACTGACTTTCTACTTCACTTTCATTTGTCTCCTCAGAGCTCAGAGTATCATTGTTCTTGACACATCTCAAGTAGATCGAATCCTCTGACCACAGACCTTATTTGTGTCATATCTCATGTGTGAAACCTGCTTCTCCTCTTTATCTCCCGGCTGTCTGACATCTCTGTTTGGTCCGCAGCGACTGGTCGGACTGGCGGGCTCATCCGGTGTCTGCTGTGTGTCTGTTCTGTGATCATCAGTCAGAGACGATGGATCAGATCTACACACACATGAAGGTACAGCAACAAACAAGAAAGACCAGTCCAGAAGTCAAAATCATCTGCTTTAGTGATTGTATGTGAAGAGGGCAAATATTATTAACTTATTATCATCATACGGAGAAGTTAGCTCAACAGTAAGCTGGTTGTAACCATAGACTGTATATAAAAAGGTTGTAACGGTCTTTTTTAATCAGATGGTTCTTGTCAAAGTCGCACCCACTGACAGGTGACATGGTAATGAGATTAACCGGAGTTGTTCACTTCACCTGTCGGGGCTCATAATGTTATAGCTGATCGGTGTATTACGATCTACGCTGCTTTTATAACAGCTAGTTCTTCGGATGGACTTTTCTTTCTTTTTCAGGAAGCTCATGGTTTTGATCTCCACAAAGTGAGGACAGAACTCAGTAAGTAAAACCACATTAGAAAACAAACACTAACAACAAAGTGCTGAACTGCACCATCTTTAAAAATCAACAGCATCCCCATGATTAAAGGAAGCAGTGTACAAGTTTGACTTTGCTCCATAAGATGACTGGAAACAGCCAGAAGTTCAGATATAAAATATGAAATGTGATATAAAAAGACGCAAATGTATTTATAAAAAAAGCAAGACAAAATAGAAGATAAGAAATGAACACTGAAAGCGTAGTTAGAGTGCTGTGCAGCAACATATGAGTGGAATAGTCCTAAATGTTATTTATTTACAAGCAGTGACGAATAGAAACGTTTTGAACCTTGATTTGAAAGAAGAGTTGGAGCAGAACAGCGGAGCAGGTTTTCTGAGTTTGTTCCAAATATATGGTGCATCAGAACATTATAGCCTCTAGTTCGGCAGGAGACTTGATTGATTAATAAACTGATAATGCAGCACTGACTTGATAATTATATATTTTAATGTGTGATATACTTACGCTCTGCCGCGTCCTCCCTCAGATCTCAGGTTCTACCAGCAGGTGAAGCTGGTGAACTTCATCCGGCGGCAGATCCACCAGAGCCGCTGCTACGGCTGCCAGGAGAAGTTCGCCTCCAGAGACGACGTCCTCCGTCACATCGAGGCTGAAGGTCACGTGATGAAGCTGCCGGACATGTCGACCTGGAACCAACCACAGTAAGTTCAGCAGCTGTTTTAATTTCATGTTTGATTCCCTGGACCTGCAGCTGGGTCGTACTTTCCATTGATACTACCACTAGGGGGCGCTAATGTTTGTAATTCCAGAACGCAGCTTTAAATTCTTGGTTCTGAATAGTTTGAGATGGGAAATCCAAAATAAAACACCGAAGTTAAACCCTCAGGGCCCAAGTTGTGTCTGTAATCACAATCCTTCCACTTAAAGTCATAAGTCAGTCGAACCTGAACTGTTTTATATTCAGCATAAATTAAACTGTTCTGGGATTTAGAATAATAGGAGTAACAAACCCCATCGTCAGGGCTCACAGTGCTCTTTCAACATGGTTCTTACACTCCTGGGACGCTGACACTCTTTTCACTCATATACTGATATCTGTGGTAACGTGAACGTTACTCCATTTTAATAAAAAAAAAACTGTATTGCACAACTTATGTGCTTATTATGGGAAAAAATGTTAGCAGTAGTCAACGGCGAGAGACAACAATTTTTTTTATCCTGTTTGAATTACACACATGATGTTAATAATAGATCTTTTAAGTCAAGAAAGTCAAAGTTTGTCGTAAAACTCTAAAGTAACATTTAGTTTTGTGTGAGAGCTTCAATTATATCTCTTGTCCTGCACAACATACGTCTCCGATAAGTTAACGCTGTAATCAGGGGCGGAGCTAGACTCTCAGCACAGTGGGGGTGGAGCTTCATCACAGGGCCCACCTGCTACCAAGAAATTTGCATGACCCCGGACTAGGGCTGGGCAATAAAACAATTATGATAATTATCGCAATATAATTTTATGATGTTAGATAGAGAATTTGGTCAATTTTCAAAATAAAATACCCGGTATAGACTTCCGATCGTATGTCAACAATAAACACAGTTCAATCAGACAAAAAACATTTTTACTACGTAGCTACTTATTCACAGTAGAAGCACAAAAAGCAAGCACTAATCACCAAATCAACAAAATCTAAACATGACGGCAAAATTCGGCAGGCAAAACGCTCTTATTCTGAAATGCTCCCTGTGGTAGCTGCTAGATGCACTCTTCAAGATGAGGAACTAAAGCGATCCACAGAGAGCTTTGAAGAATGTAGTAGAAGCACAAATAAGACAATTAAAAACAATTACCGTGCTGAAATGCTTCTGAGAAGCTTCCAGTGGACGCCGTAAATAACCTGCCTCGCACACGCAGCCTACGTCCGTCCCTCAGAATTCCCATGATGCATGAGCGTGTTTTGTTAAAATGTGCAAATAAGTTTGCCATTTGTTTGAAATACAAATGTTTCTTTATGATTTATGTTTATTAAAACGTGTCTCCTTAGAATCTAGTGTTTATGTTGGTGATTATCATTCTTGTGGTGGTTTACCATTGAAACCATGAGTGAAGGGACTGTTTCATTTAATAAGAGCTGCTGAATTCTCCCCGCGCCACTCGTCCATGTTCACGACAATGAACTCAGCTAAACTGGCCCAACTTCAGGTCCCATGTAGTGGGCCCCCTACTAGTGTGGGCCCTGGGTCGGCCGCCCCCATGTACCACGTTCCCCAAGTTCATTACTTTCTTGCTGCTAGCTAGGTAACTTAGCTATGTTCCACGCATGTGATGTTTCTTACCTGTGTAATTCAACAACTCCTGGTCCTTTCATCACATCATCTACACATGTAAGCCTTTAGTAGCATTAGCTTCAGTGTCGGGGCCTTCAGTAACGTTAGCTGAAGTGACGTTTGCGCCAGTGACATAAGCTTCAGTGACATTAGCTTCAGTGACATTAGCGCCATTGACATTGCCTTCAGTAACTTCTAAATAAAATTTAATTGTATTAACGTTAACTTCAGTGATGTTAGCGCCAGTGACTTCAGTAACGTTTGCTTCAGTAACTTTAGCTTCAGTGACGTTAGCGCCAGAGACGTTGCCTTCAGTGATGTTAGCGTCAGTGACATTAGCTTCAGGGACGTTGCCTTCTGTGATGTTAGCGTCAGTGACAGTAGCTTCAGTAACGTTGCCCTCAGTAACGTTAACTTCAGAAATGTCGCCTTCAGCAACGTTTGCTTCAGTAACGTTAACTTCAGTGACGTTAGCGCCAGAGACGTTGCCTTCAGTGATGTTAGCGTCAGTGACATTAGCTTCAGTGACATTAGCTTCAGGGACGTTGCCTGTAGTGATGTTAGCGTCAGTGACAGTAGCTTCAGTAACGTTGCCCTCAGTAACGTTAGCTTCTGTAACATTAACTTCAGTGACGTTATCGTCAGTGACAGTAGCTTCAGTAACGTTAGCTTTTGTAACGTTAACTTCAGTGACATTAGCGCCAGGGACGTTGCCTGTAGTGATGTTAGCGTCAGTGACAGTAGCCTCAGTAACGTTAGCTACTGTAACATTAACTTCAGTGACGTTATCGTCAGTGACAGTAGCTTCAGTAACGTTGCCCTCAGTAACGTTAACTTCAGAAATGTCGCCTTCAGTAACGTTAGCTTTTGTAACGTTCGTGTCAGTGACGTTAGCTTCAATAACGTTGGTCTCATTGACATTAGCTTAGAGAAAAAAATTATGTGACATATGCAACTCTTGGGTTTGACGTCGTTGTAATTACATATTTTTTCTTATACTTAAACAGACTTTGAGTTTCAAAATTAAATTTAAATTGACAAACATCATGCGTGTAACTCTGAGAACAATTCAAACAGGGTCAAAACATTAGTCGCCTCCCAACTGTACATATTCAGCAAAAAGCTGAGCTAAAACCAAAAGGGTTTTAAAAACGCCTGCCCTCAATCTCTCCTCAGGTATTACTTCCCCACGTATGAGAACGACGCCCTCCTGTGCACACTATCTGACAGCGATGAAGATGAAAGTGACGAGACAAATCACGGCGAGGACGTCCCGGTTATCGCCGAGGACATTTCCAACCTCAGAGCGCTGAAACAGAGCAGCGTCCTCCACCAGCTGCTGAAGACCAGAGACTCCTGCAGATAGGACGGCAGACAGTTTTGGGAAGTGGGGTGGTTGGACTTCTTCGTTTCTTTCATTTGGACTGAATTCTTCCTCTCACCAGACTTGTCGTCCCTGTGTGCACCAGGGCTGTGAAAAAGTGCTAATAAACTGAAGTGTTTTTGCTGGATCTGTCAGTACAGAACAGTATTTTTCTCCACACTTGTAGGCACTTAAAACCATGCTCTGCGAAAAGCTAATTACACCAATTATGCGCCCTGAACATGCACTTTAAAAGAAGCCTTTTCAGAAGTGCAGACTCGTCTGCAGCTCAGACGACTGTCAGCATGTCTTACTTACTAATTCTCTCTATTCAAGCGATAATATGAAACATGTTTTTCTTGAATATGAAGTTTATCACTTAAAGTAAACCTAAAGTTTTCTTTTGTAAATTCCGAAACTTTTGCCAGTACTTAATATAAGCATAAGTCATGAAAACTGCAGTGCTGATTGAACACTCGATTTCGATCGTGTTTAAAGTAAAACAGGATTTGAGAACAAAAAGTGTCTTCCATCTCTTTTTGGTAAATAAATGTTCATCAATCAATGGTCCATCTTCAGTTTGTCGTGGAAGAGAACTGCGGCGTGCTCAGTGTTTCCACCTCGTCCTTCACGTCTGGACTCACAAACACACGGCACTGCAGAGAAACCAGAGGACACAGCTGTTGGTGAGAAAACAAGCTGCCACCGTGTGGAATTTGCTGTCAACACTTTTGCACACAATCCCATGAAACAGACAGATTTGGTAATCCAAAACTGGTGATGGATCTAATCCAAAATCACTATACAGAATTAAGATTTTTTCTAATCAGTATTTAATGCTGGAGCACGGGATTTGGAACATAAATTAAAGTTCACAGAATGCTGATTAAACCTCTCACCAGCAGGTAAATCTCTCTGTAATTGCAGCAAACCAGAGTTTAAGTCTGGTGTATGTGGCGGAGTAATGATGTGTTTTACACCAACCAGCAGGGATTGGTTGGTCAGAACTGAACTGGTGAGCAACCCAGAACCTGACATTTGTGTTCAGTGTTTGGATCAGTGAAGGATTTCTCTGTGAAACTGTGCTAACACATCTCACCACCACAATTTAGTTTCTGTGTGAAAAAGCGCTTCTTCTCTTTATCTTTCACTAGCAGATGTGGTCTTTACTTCAGGGGAATAATATAAAACATGTTTGGAAACCTTGAGGTGAATCATTTTCTTCTACTAAATATTGAGGCTGGGCGATGTGGCCAAAAATGTTATCCCGATAAAAACATTTCATATCATTTGATATCGATAATTATCACGATATATGTCAAATCATTATTTAAGTTTAAAGGCTGATTTTTGAGTTAAAATTGAAGAAATCAGATGGTTAATTGTGTTTAAACTTTCCTTTATTGTCAGAACGGGACAAACAAATCTGAGGTAGAACATTCAAAACTATTAAGATAAAATCTTTTTGACAAATATGATTATTAAATCAACAAAATAAATATCTTAATAGAAAATTAAGTGCTAATTTGATTGTCAATTACACATTTATTGACGATACATTGAACATTAATTATATTGTTAATGAGGAAAATTATATTGCAATAATTATGAGCAACAAATGTGCAGCATTTTTCATCAAGTCATTAAAGACGTGATCAGTGTTGCCACTTTGAAACTGACTATGAGTAAACTACACCGCCTCCACCTTCATCTGTGTTACATTCAGCTTCACATTTAAAGACCAAATACATCAGACTGCCTACAATGTGAGGATACGCAGCTCAAAATAAAGCATCACTTCACACCTTTAAAAACATTGGGGGTTTTCTTTGACTCACACTTTCTCCCAGTTCACTCTCGCATCTTAAAACTGAACGGTTCTGACCTGATGATGACTTCTTGCTGCGCATCGTGTACGTCTTCCCGGAGCCGGTTTGTCCGTCGGCCAGAACACCAACGTTACATCCGTCCACACAGGAAGTTATCACTGACTGCGTTTCTGCAGACACCACCTGCTGCGGAGAGGAAGATGATATGGAAATCATTAAAAAGGAGGAGTTGCTGCTTGATGTGTCTTCCAAAATCCGATGTCAGATTTCATTTTAAATGTTGCTCTAACTTCTTCTAGCTTTGGCCTGACTGTTTTCCTTTGAAAGCGGTTCTGCATTCCAGCAGCACTTGTCTCTTTAGATAATGTTTAAATAAAACACCATGAGGCATTAAATGCTGTTAAATAGAAATAAAAAACCAAGTTTTATTATAGATGGATGGATTTTAACGGTGCTCTACGAGGGCCCAGCGCTCGTTAGGATCTGCAGCTCGTTAAGGACAACTGCTTGCCTTCCCTACAGGCAAAATTAACAACATTGTTGTGGTATTTAACAGGATGCAGGAGAGATTAAACTGGAAGCTTTGGTGTTATTTAACTGCAGAAACCTTGTTCACTGATATGAATGCCAGATAGTAAAACTTGTCAAACTGTACGCCCTCTGTTTTCAGTCTTTGTGCTAAGCTAGGACACACACATCTAAACAAGCTCTCAAAGGGAAAGAAATAAAATTATGACTGGGCGATATGGTTGAAATTAATAAGACAAATGCAGGACAACAGTTACGTACGTCCCTCACCAGGCAGCTGTTCCTCTGGAAGAGATGGTCCACCTCCTCCTCTTTGGAGCCTCAGATCCTCGACGATCCTTTCCTGCTCCAGGAGAAGTTTGGAGTTTAGTGGAGCAAGTGAAGATGCTGCCTTAAGGTAGACTTCTTATGATGGGTGACAATTATTGAGGGCTAACCTGGACCAAGTAAGGGGAAAGAGTGCAGGATTAACAGTACCCTTCCTTATTAAATTCAAAGGTGTGGCCTTTGTAGGCGGGATGAGACTGACCCAGCTGTACCGGTCAAATTGACCTAAATAATTAGCAACCTGTAAATTCACATATTTCTTTGATCAACATAACAATCATTAAGTTAACTGCTGCTCCCACAGGTTCCGTGTGGAGAGCAATACATGTACATGATGTCAGACTGAACAACGAGGTGAAACAAAATGTCAACTCTGATTATCGGTGAATACTTAAGTTTGCTTGTTTTGCGGTTTCTGAATGTTTATTCATTTTGTCTTCGGGATTACATTTTTTAACAAACACGCAAATATCTACATGGAAGAAGTGGAGAATAAAGCACTCAAATCCTTCAGAGGAACAGCACCGAGCCACTGGTACAGATATGTGGACGACACCTGGGTCAAAATTAAAACACATCAACTCTGCGGACAGTAACATCAGGTTCACACGAGAAGATGTTCACAACAACAGTTTGGCCTTCCTGGACTGCGCTGTACACATTGAAGAGGACACAGAAAACCCACACACACAGACCAATACCTACTGTTCGATTCCCACCACCCACTGGAGCACAAGCTAGTGGTCATGAGAACACTGCACCACAGAGCGGAAAACATACCAACAAGCGCCCAAGCCAGAGAGAAGGAACAGAAGCACCTGAAGGGGGCACTTACAGCCTGTGGAGACCCTAAATGGACCTTTGTGAAAACAGCCACAAGATCCAAGAAGAACAAAACTACAGGGGAGGAAAAGAAGGTCAAACGCAACAACATTGTGATTCCATACGTGTCTGGAGTAACAAACGTAACTTATTGGCCTCAGATGCCAACGATGGTCGTTCAGTCTTGGCCTCAGGTGTTTCTAACAACCATGACGACTGTCGTTTCACACATGAAATAACAATTTAAACTTGTGGACATTAAGATGTATTTTTCTGCAGTTAGTTTTTCTGACCTGATTGATTAAACAGGTCTATTTTGTTGAAAAATGTAATCCAGACGTCAAACGATTAAACAAACATCCAGCAGCAGCAGAACATAACTTATTTTGGGAAAGTAGGCCCAGCTGGAACAGCAAATCTTTTCTGCAAATTAATGCATGAAAAAAGACCAAAAGTAGATCTTTGTTGGATCAAAACAACAGGGTCCAAGAGTTTCTTGCTGATTTACAAGACTTTCCAGACTTTATCATCTGCTGAACGCCAGTCATTTAAGGTGAGCGGTCAACATTTATCATTTGTCCCACCGCACCTGAGGGCAGCTCTTGCAGATATTGACCTTTCAACATTGTGACCATTTTCTTAAAGGCTCAATCTGTGATGATGATAAGATATTGAGTTTCTCCCTGACTGTGATCAGAGCAGCCTGCCTGCACCGCTTCATCGCCGCACCAGAGCGCAGCACGAGTCTATCAAAGGAATTCAGAGCAGAGCATCAATGTTGTGCAGCATGTTCACTCATAGAGGTGGAAACACCGGAGCGGTTCAGACAAACACTCAAAGGCTTCATGGTTCCTGTTATTCTCATAACTCATGTTAATCATCTGATTTTTTTCAGTGTGAAATGCACAAATCAGCTGGATGCTGATCTTTTTAATTCTGCACAAACGCTGTTGTTGCTGTTTATATTTATCTATGTATTATACACATTTATATGTCTGTGCACAGTAGTTTAATGTTTACCTTGGCGAGCTTGTCCTATTTTTGTGTATTGACAGCAATGTAAAACTGGAAACAAGTTCCCTGTATGTGTGCACGTACCTGGCCTATAAAACTGATTCTGATATGGGCCATATGTGGTTCTACATGCAAATGGATCTCAGCAGTACATTTTGAAGGCTTGCAGTGTGAACAATGCCTTAGGCCGGGCTCACACCAGCCTTGTTTAGTCCGGTTTAACTGGACCCTGAAGCTTTTACCCCCTCGGTGCGGTTTGTTTGGCTTGATGTGAATGCCAGACTCAAACTCTGGTGTGGACCAAACAACTGCTCTCTGGTCCACCTCGAAGGGTTGGTCTCAAACCAATCACACAGGAAGCGGACTGGTTTTAAAAATGTTTTCTCTTCCTGGTTTGGTGACTGGTGAGCTAGCAGCGTGTTTGCTACCAAAATGACAAACCTGTCTCCTGAATATCTGAGCTGAAGAGAGCGTTTCTCAGTCACAAGGAGAGAATCCACGCAAGATACAAGCATGATTTATTGAACTAAACACAAATGAACAATGAGGTGTGGAAATCAGCAGTATCAACAATGTAAGCGTGGCTGTGTGGCGTGTGTTCTGGACAGGTGCTGTGGTGCAAAGGAAGGTAGGAA